AGGTTTGCATCTTGCTCTGAGCTCAAATTTTCAATTAGGAAGCCAAAAATCTGAGAAAAGAAACTTGTAAAAACACAAATAGAGACTTGATATTCATTTCAATGCACAAATTAAAAATGGTAGGTTGATAAGAATAATGATTGTGGAATAAGTTTGATTTTGGTCATTTTTTATTTTTTTATATTTAATTTATGTATAAAATCGAAAATACCAGTGTCAAATTGTTGTTTTATTAGTTGTGTAACAAAATTACGGTAAAAGCTGCTTTTTATGATTAATTATAAACAAAGACCATGCGGGTCAACGATAAGCTACAATTAATGAATCCGTTATGAATTAATTATTTAACCACAACCATTCCTCCCCCTGATGTCTACGACGACGATGCCAAAATCTAACAAGATGTGGGTCTTGATAGCACTGACAGTGGGCTGACAGCCCAGCCGCTACCCCTTCCAAGGCAGTGCGAACCTTCGACTCAATCTCCCATGTCACGGCAGAAATACAAATCTTCTGTGGAACGGTAAGCTCAGGGCAGGACAGGATAATGCGTCAGGTTTGGTGTTCTTGGAACGCGGTCGATAGAAAATTTAAAAATCAAACCATCTAAAAAATAACACCAACCGAGCCTGCCTAGAGCAGGGGTGCTCAATCCTGTTCCTGGAGATCTACCTTCCTGCAGATTTCAGTTGCTACCCATATCAAAAACACCTGAACCAATTAATTAGGACCTGAACACCACGTGATAATTACAGGCAGGTGTGTTTGATATGGGTTGCAACTGAAATCTGCAGGAAGGTTGATCTCCAGGAACAGGATTGAGCACCCCTGGCCTAGAGCTCATTCGTTTGAGAGATTTTATGTATTCAAGATTTATGTGATCGGTCCAAACGATAAAAGAACGCGAGTTTAACAGCCAGCAACTACCTATTACCAACGTTAGGTGGCAGATAATCAGTGAGAAAAAAATACGCAGGGATGCATCTTACCACCCGAGGAGAAACGCTGGGACAGGATAGTTCCCACCCCTTCGTTTGATGCGTCAACCTCCACCACAAGCTGCTGAGAAGGATCAGGGGCTATGAGAATCGAGCTTTCAATTTAGTGAACGCAGCTTGATCTGCGGTCAACCAGCTAAACAGTGTTTTGGTGGAGGTTAAAGTAGTCAGGCACGGCGAGCTGGCTGAACTTGCGAATGAATGCCGATAAAACTGGCAAAGCCCAGAAACCTCTGCAGAGCCTTGCATCCCCTTGACTGACACAGTGTGCCCTGGAAAAAATGAACTTTTCCTTTCTCCGCCTTGACATAAAACCCATTCTTTAACAGCCTCTGAAGCTGTTGAATATATATTATAAACAATATAACCCTAAATGTTACAATTGATATAATTGCAGACCTTGCAGTACGCTATTTTGCATTATCATTGATCTGCAGTTATAATCAAATCATATTCATTGAGACGTTAGTAATTTACATTTATACACAAGTATCTACATCACACCCACTAAAAGTACCATGTTACCCTTTTGGCAGTGGAAACGAAAGCCAGAGGCCAGCGAACCAGCTAACTCTTTGCGATTGAGAAGCCCCTCTGCCATTGAACTGCAAACTACCTTCAGTAAACTCTCCTAATTTTTATTGAATCTCCGACTCTGAAACTTCTCTTCATCTAACACACCAGTCGTTAAGGTTTTAACCGTTAGTTTCCCTTTCTTAACAATATAAGTTTAAGATCTAAGACTTTAGGACCTGCAGAAACCTTGCATGACAGTAAAAACGTAAAATTTGTAGTGGAAATATTTACAAAGTTACAAGTTCAATTCAATTCAATTCAGCTTTATTTGTATAGTGCTTTTACAATGTAGATTGTGTCAAAGCAGCTTCACATAAATGGTCATAGTAACTGGAACAGTGTGGTTCAGGTTTTAGTGTTTAAGTTCAGTTCAGTTTAGCTCAGTTCAGTGTGATTTAATCATTACTGAGAGTTCAAACACTGAAGAGCAAATTCATCGATGCGTAGCTCTACCAATCCTGAACCATGCGAGGCAGTGGCGACAGCGGAGAGGGAAAAAAAACTTCACCTGATGGGAGTGAAGAAAAAAAAACCTTGAGGGAACCAGACTCAGTTGGGCACGACCATTTTAATTTCTCCGCTGGCCAAAAGTCTTGTGCAGAGCTTCAGTCGCCGTGGTGGAGGCTGGAAGATGGCCTCAGCGAAGACTCGTCTGTCCCTGGAGCGTCGCTGGAATCAGACTCATGTTCTCCACTCCCCACAACCATCAGCGCAGCAGCAGCTCAGGATATGGCCTGGTCCCGGATATGGAATCCTTGGGATCATCTCGTCGCTGGTCTTGGATCCAATCAGTGACTCTGCATAATCTGAGGACCTCGGGATGAGTATCCACAGGTGAAAATAGAGAATAAAGAGAATAATTAGCGTAGCTGCTGTTCATAGTGTATATAAACAAGATGCAGAAGCCTGTGTGGAACCCGCTAGGTGATGCATTGAGTGTATGCTTTACTAAACAGATAGGTCTTTAATCTAGTTTTGAACTGGGAGAGTGTGTCTGAGCCTCGGACGTTATCAGGAAGGCTATTCCAGAGTGTAGGAGCCATGAAAGAGAAGACTCGACCTCCTTTACTTGATTTTGCTATTCTAGGTACTACCAGAAGCCCTGAGTTTTAAGATCTTAAAGAGCGAGTTGGATTGTAGCGAGACAGAAGGTTGGTTAGATAAACAGGAGCTAGATTATTTAGAACTTTATAGGTGAGAAGTAATATTTTAAATTCAATACGAAACTTAACAGGCAGCCAGTGTACAAGTGTAGGGGATCAGCCTACGTTATAAGATCGATCAGCGATTAATTAGCTAATTTCAATGAATCGATCAGCGATTCATTAGCATATTTCAATGAATCGGATCTTGAAGAGTCGAATCATTGATTCTGTGGCCGTTATTTCCGTGGGCCAATGACAATAAAATAACACAGTATTGGGTTAACTTTTTAGCAATGTAACAGTATATACAGCTCGAGGCAATGACTTGGAAGCACATAAACAAGAAGCACAGTTCTTAAAAAATGAGAACAACGATTTATTGAGCTACACTACCGTACATGAAACTAACTATGTAATAAGCAAACAACAAACAAACGCACACACAGAGACAGTTCAGAGGATGTGCAATGAGTTGAACAACCATCCCAAATTAATTCTAATACTTCTTGCAAGGTCTTTGAATAACACCTGAGAAGCCACAAAAGCAGAGATATGGCTTATCTTTAACTGCTTGAGATCAATCTGCACCAGATCAGCAAGAGACAACTGTAGTTTGTGTTACTTGCTCTTTTTGCTGGAAGTCTTGAGTTTCCCTCGCCGGGCTGGCCTTGGGGGGGTTGGCGGCTTCAGTGACATCCTTGGGTTCCCTCACTCGTGAATGGAGGTACCGAGGTGCCGGACTGCTGAGAGTCAGTTCGCGGAAGTTTGTGCGGCTTCAGAGAATCGAACCAGCAACCTTCCGCAAGGGAGTCAGTTGCTGTAACAAGGAGGCTAAAGACCATGGCCTCTAGTGTCTGTCGCTAGAGCACCTTTAGAGGTCAGATGAGTGAGGTTTACTTGCACAGCACTTACTAGCTGGCCTCCGTTACACTCACCCCTCTAAACCTCACTCCCATCCGGGTCACGGCACCAATGTTACCCCGGCGGTCCTACGCCACTCAAACCCGCTCCGAGCTGGTATCAAACCAGCGACCTTCTGCATGGGAGTCGGTTGCTTTAACAAGGAGTCTAAAGACCACAGACTCTAGTGTCTGTCACTAGAGCACCTTTAAAGGTCAAAGGAGTGAGGTTTACCTGCACAGAACTTACTAGCTTGCCTTCGTTACACCAGCTAATGCAAAAAGCAATGTTTTTATGTTGCGGGGTGTTTTTAAGTGACCTGGTTTGGACCATCCCTATGGCACAGTCTTCCAAAGAGCAGTTGCCATGAAGGCCCCGTACCATTGTATTAAGGGTCAATTCTTAACAGGTTGCATGTTGTTTTCACGTGGTAAAATCTCTTGTAAGTTTGTATCTTACATCAAATGTTACAAAACGAATACTGTCTGTACTACTAGTTTTTCATTTACACCAATGTATTGCAAATGTCACTAGCTTTTGTTTAATACCAGACATCATACATTTCAGACACATACAGATCATTTTAATCTGCTATAATGGTTAAAACAACACATTGATTAACCTGGTTGCGCAGCGTATGAAGACAACTATGGCATATTATTCAAAGATGCATCTGCCTTAGTTCTAGCATTTTAAGAGATTGTCTTTCATTTGAATGCATTCATTTCCAGAGATCCCTTAGTCTCTACGAAATTGTACATCTGGCAGGATGTCCCCATGGCGAGCACATGACCCATGTAGGGGAGTCATTCAGAAGAGTCTTGTGGGGGCAGTTAGCTAGATTTTCCCACTGAAAATCCTGTAAAGCCTCATTGTTAGGTGATTAAATCATGTACCAACTTGGCTGAAGGGTACCCGAACATCTGCGGCCAAAGTATTGGTCAAAACAGTTAAAATCAACGACGCTCTTTTATCCTGATGGTATAAACCAGGGGTCACCAACCCTGTTCCTGGAGAGCTACCTCCAACCCTGATCAAACACACCTGAACCAATTAATAGTACCTAAAGCAGCACTTGATAATTACAAACAGGTGTGTTTGGTCAGGGTTGCAACTAGAATCTGCAGTAAGGTAGCTCTCCAGGAACAGGGTTGGTGACCCCTGGTATAAACCCTCGAGCCAGTTCAATGACCAGACAATTTGGCGCACGATTTCCAAGCGTAATTCGAAACTGGTTTTGATCACCAGTGAGTGCCTTCACAAGTATTGGACCTAATGCTGAACCCTGTAGCACTCAATGGTTTGGATATTCTTTGTTGATTTTTCATGTCTGCTGTTTTGTGCCTTTACGCTGGTGTTAACTGGTGTTTTTTCACTTTAGGGCTGATGGTGCTGAAAGAAGAGACTCGAGAACTGAATGAAATTGAAGAGAAAGATCAGTGTGGGAAACAATTCGATTTAATGACCGATGAACCATCTTCAGTGGCAAAGAACACTTCATGTGAAGGAGCTGAGAAAACCAAACATTTCCCCTGTCATCAGTGTGGAAAAAGCTTTAGTCGAAAACATGGCCTTAATCTTCACATGAGAATTCACACTGGAGAGAAACCGTACTCGTGTACTGTGTGTGGAAAGAGTTTCAGTGCAAAATCAGGTTTTAATACCCACATGAGGATTCACACCGGAGAGAAGCCTTACTCCTGTACTGTGTGTGGAAAGAGTTTCACTGAAAAATCGCGTTTTAATATCCACATGAGGATTCACACCGGAGAGAGGCCTTTCTCGTGTACCGTGTGTGAAAAGAGTTTTAATGAAAAGAAAAAACTTGAAATCCACATGAGAATTCACACCGGAGAGAAGCCTTACTCGTGTACTGAGTGTGGAAAGAGCTTTAGTGAAAAGTCAAAACTTGGAATGCACATGAGAATTCACACTGGGGAGAAGCCTTTTGCCTGTCAGCATTGTGGAAAAAGATTCAGTCAAATGGTTAGTCTTAAATCTCACTTTCGTGTGCACACTGGCGAGAAGCCACATACCTGCCAACAGTGTGGTAAGAGTTTCGCTCAAAAGTCTACCCTTACGGCTCACATTATCCGCCACACTGGAGAGAAACCGTTTCCATGTGATCAGTGTGAAAAGAGATACGTATGTAAACATCACCTTAAACGGCACAAGAGGATTCACGCCAAACATAAATATTTCATATGTGATCAGTGCGGAAGCAGTTTTAAACTGAAACAAAACTTTGACCAGCACATGAAGAATCACGCGGAGAAATCTTTCATATGCGATCAGTGTGGAAGGAATTGCATTAGTGAATCAGGTTTGGAATCGCACATGAAAGTTCACACTGGGGAGAAGCCTTACTCGTGCACAGAGTGTGGAAAGTCTTGCAGCCATAAGCACAACCTTACGGTGCACATGAGAGTTCACACTGGAGAGAAGCCTTTTCAATGTCATCATTGTGGAAAGAGATTCGTTACGTCATATTTGCTTAAATCTCACATGAACTTTCACACTGGTAAGAAGCCGCATACCTGCCGACCGTGTGGAAAGAGATTTGTTCAATATTCAGCCCTTAAAGTCCACTTGAGAGTTCACAGCGGAGAGAGACCTTACACCTGCGCACAATGCGGAAAGGGTTTCGCCCAGAAACATGGCCTTTATGTTCACATGAGAACGCACACCGGAGAGAAACCTTTCACTTGCACGCAGTGTGGTAAAAGCTTTACAAGTAAAAAGAGCCAAGTTATACACATGAGAACTCATCACACTGGAATTAAACCGTTCGCATGTAAAGAGTGTGGAAAGAGATTTGTATGTAAAATTTACCTCAACCTGCACATGAAGATCCACACAGAGGAGATTACATGCTTTCAGTCTGAAAAGAGGTTCACTGTAAGGACCCGCAAATTACACATGGCCAAGCAAGCCTGCAAGTCTGGCCACAATAACAATCCTCAAGATTTGCCAAAGTGAGCATTTCAGCCCTGTCTTGCCGATTAATCTAGCAACAAACATCCAGTGCTGCTGCGCCCTTTATGATTTACTCCACTGCTGCATTTAAAAGCACTCAATACCCCTAAATAGTGCACCGTTTCTAGTGCTGCTATTTCTAGTGCTGTCGGAAACAATAGTGTATGCAAAAGAATTCCCCATAATGCACTGTGAGTTTGTGCATCAAATGAATGTCCACACCTGACAACAAGACGGCGTCCCAAGGTTCAAATTACATTATTTACTTAAAGCCACATAGTTAGCGAGTTAGTGCTCCAATTGTCTCGCTCATTTCAGTCACTACCTTAAGTAAACTTGTGTATGTAATGGTGAACGTGATCTCAGAGCAGGGCTTAATTTGAGCCGGATTTGGCACTTTTGAAGCCTGACCCGGCACCTGACTTTACCGATCCCCCTCCTCAACCGCCCTTTTCCCCATCTGCTGTTCACTATTACTTTCTTTCGTGACTCCCCAACCCTCTTCACTTTCGTTTGCGACAGCCCACCCACTCTTCACTTTCGTCCTTCGTCCACGACAACCCTCTGCCATCCAACCAACATCCTTATTGATATTAATAAAAACGTATTGCTAATTATATATGTTTATTAGAGCTGTCAAACGCGTGCATTGCTTCAAGAAAATAAATTGTAATTATCATTGAATCGTTTAGTTCCAGGGTACCCAGTCCTGGTTCTGGAGAGCTACCCTCCTGCAGAGCTTAGCTCCAACCCTGATCAAACCCACTTATCCTTAATTACCATGTCCTCCTCCTCAGTTTTTGATCAGGGTTGGAGCTAAACTCTGCAGGAAGGTAGATCTCCAGGAACAGGATTGGGCACCCCTGGTTTAGTTAGTTAGTTGTTAGATTTGTCCTGGTCAGACGAAGTCTGAACATTGAAACATACAGAACATATTCAATAAACTCTGCTCTTTCTTTATTATCATTACTTCGTCTCTTGCTTCTGCTCCTTTTTGGCTTCCTCTGTCAACTCCTATATTAATTCAGTTCTGCATACTGATTGCCAGGTTTAGGTATTGGGATGCTCTGCTGTCTCGTTTTCTGACAGAATTTACTTATCTTGCATGGAGAGTGTTTTATAATGAGGAACCAATGAATGAACAATTTTAATCAAAGAAAACAAAACAAGAGCTCTTGTAGGACTCGCCACTTGATAAACACTCGCACTACCAACCTCTCTTCACTCTGACAGCACTAATCCCTGCCCAAACTCGTCACCACTACCAAGTCGACCAATCACAGCTCTTGCGCTGTGTCACTGCAACGTGTAGTTGCAGCACCCACAAGACTCCTTGGAATAAATATACTTGGCGGGAGAAGAGATAGAAATTTGAGGAGGGACAGAGAGAGGGAAGACAAAAAAAAAAGGTTCTTCAAACACACCGTCACTCAACCGGCTGAGGGATCTGCTGATGATGTGCTTTGGCTCCTGGCAGACGGCGTTGATTCCCCCGGACTTTTCTGAGGCCCCGTTTACACTAGTGCGTTTTAGTTTTAAAACGGCGTTTTAGAATGAAAACGATCCACACTGGCGTTTTACCCAGCGTTTCTGAACTGCTCTCCGTCCACACCAAAACGCTGAAAACGCACATCACGTGACCACACACACACTCTCAGGCAAGCATTGCAGCCCATCTACCCAGATGAGAGTTCTGTGAGTCGGACTGCCTATCAAGCATCTCCCGCTGGATCTAATCTCACTATATTTATTAAACGGGATATTTCATTCATCTTGTTGTCTTTATCTAACGACATATTCCCTGACTTTGGTCATTGGAATCTATTACTTGTTCGCAGGTAACTTGTTTGGCTAAGCGCAAAGATAAGTTAATGATTAATGTAACCACGTAGCCTATTCTGTATATTGACTGATCGCTTGCCTTTTTTTCTTATAATGTATAAACTTATTGTATGTTATACTTTTATAATGGCCATTATCGATTATTAAAACTGATACTCAGCAAAAGAGAGGCTGTGTTTCGTATTTTCACTGAAATTGAAAGGAGACAGTTGTTATCGGCTCCGTTTTGTTATAAATATCGACACAGTGAAGATGACGCTCATATATGCAGCACAATGCCTCAACATTTCTGCTGTCTAAGTTGCTAATATTAAAATGAAAATAGGCAGTTCCTTGAATCATGTTTACATTTTATTGTTGAGAAAGTGAAGCAACGTAGCTAGGGTGATGTGAATAAAGTTATAAAGTACACTGTTCCCTTTGAAGATTTACCCGTGTCCTTGGTATAGTCTGTTTTCCATATCAAACTGAGAAGAAGAGACTGCAGCCTTGATCAAACTTGCGAAGTCTGAACTTACAAGGAGAGGATGCAGGACTGAACTGTGTTTGTTAGGCTACTTAATATTGAGAAAAAGCCCCAATCAGAGAGGCGAATGTCTGCAGCCCCGCCTCCGTTTTCAGATGTCTCCGTTTTTGCTCATCCACACTGAGACGGAGCAGCAGCGTTTTAGAATGAAAACGGACTCCCCAGCGTTTTCAAAACGCTCTGTTTTCGGCGCTCGAGAACTCCGGCGTAGTGTGGACGGTTGTCGTAACCGTAGCAAAACTTCTGCGTTTTCAAACTAAAACGCATTAGTGTAAACGGGGCCTGAGATGGCTCCTGGCTATTTCCTTGCCGGCGATTAGTCCCTCGTCCCTTGCTCCTCTCCATGCATGTCCCTCCTTCTCGCAGGATTCGGCACCACTGTAATGAAGTTGATGGCCAACAGGAGGCGGAGAACCAACAAACTTCCAATCATTTCAGTTACGAAAATTTACAAAAGGGTGGTGACTACCGCCAGACCAAAAGGCAAACAAAACACAAGTGCGAGGCCTGGTCTTCTCTCGTCTTGCTCTGTCATCACTTCTTCTTTTATACTTGCATTTATGTTTATTCATTAAGCAGATGCATTTGTTCAAGACAACTCAAGGAGGCGTTCAGTGATTCCACAAGAAGAGGCAATACGCACAAGAAGTGCTTGTTATTCAAAGTAACTTGTTTGTGCTCAAAGAATTTAGTGCTAGACTAAGAGTGTTCGATTCTTTTTGAGAAAAATGTTTCTGTAGGTGGTTTGTTAAGCCCACTCACCTGTATGAGGCACACTCAGAATTGATAGTATTTTGGGTTGGTGGAAGAGAGAACAGTGGTCTACGTTTTCTTTGTCGGGATTCAGGTGCTCTCAGAAAAGATTTTTAGTTGTCGTTTGAAGGATACTAGTGAATCTGAGGTCCATGTGCGAATGGGAAGATCGTTTCACCAGGGAGAAACATTTGAAGGTTTTGGAAAGTGACTTACAGACTTTCTGTGATGGTACCACAAGGAGGTGCTCAATCCCTGACCAGAGGCTCCTGGAGGGGATGTACACCTTAAGGAGCAAGTGGCGGAACGAAGGTGCAGTGGCTGTTCTGTAAGCAAGCATCATTGATTTAAACTTGATCCGAGCTTTGACCAGTAACCAATGGAGAGAAGTATAGAGAGGTGTTACTTGGGCTTTCTTTGGCTCATCGAAGACCATATGAGCTGCATCATTCTGGATCATCTGTAGAGGTTTAAGGGTGTAGGATGGGAGACCAGCTAGAAGAGCATTGCAGTAGTCCAGTATTAAAATGACAAAGAGCTTAGACTAAAAGGTGAGCAGCATGATCTGTTAAGAAGGGTCTAATTTTTCCAATGTTGAAGAGTGCTAGATCAAGCTGCCGATTATCCAGGATCACCCCAAGATTCCTTATCAAACTACATGGGGCAATTGTGGATGATTGAGAAATTATGTTGTATGTGTGATGTTGCTGGGAAGACAAGAAGTTCAGTTTTTGCCAGATTAAGCAGCACGTTATGGGCTTTCATCTAAGCTGAGATGCCCTCCAGGCAGTGCGAGATTCTTGTGGCTACCATGGGGTCGTCTGGGTAAGATGAAAGATAGCACTCTGAAGCAGGTTTTCATTCAGGATGTCTCTGTACATTGCTGCATTCATCTTTCCCTCTATCCTGACTAGTCTTCCAGTTCCTGCTGCTGATAAACATCCTCAAAGCATGATGCTGCCACCACCATGCTTCACTGTAGGGATGGCATTAGCCTGGTGATGAGCGGGGCCTGGTTTTCTCCAAACGTAACGCCTGACATTCACGCCAAAGAGTTCAATTTTAGACTCATCAGACTAGAGAATTTAGTTTCTGATGTTCTGAGAGTCCTTCAGATGCCTTTTGGCAAATTCCAGGCGGGGAGTGTCTTCCGTCTGGCCACTCTACCATACAGGCCTGATTGGTGGATTGCTGCACAGATGGTTGTCCTTCTGTAAGGTTCTCCTCTCTCCACAGAAGAACGCTGGAGCTTAGACAGAGTGGCCATCGGGTTATTGATCACCTCCCTGACTAAGGCCATTCTCCCTGATCACTCAGCTTAGATGGCCAGCTAGCTCTAGGAAGAGTCCTGGTGGTTCCAAACATCTATCACTTACGGATGATGGAGGCCGCTGTGCTCATTGGAACTTTCAGAGCTGCAGAAATGTTTCTGTAATCTTCCCCAGCCTTGTGCCTCAAGACAATCCTGTCTCGGAGGTCTACAGACAGTTCCTATTTCTTCATGCTTGGTTTGTGCTTTGACATGCACCGTCAACCCTGGGAGCTTATATAGACCGGTGTATGATTTTCAAATGATGTCCAATCAACTGAATTTAGCACAGGTGAACTTCAATTAAGCTGCTGAAACTTCTCAAGAATGATCAGTGGAAACAGAATGTACCTGAGCTCAATGTAGAGCTTCACTGCAAAAAGGCTGTGAATACTGATGTACATGTCATTTTTCAGCTTTTTTATTGTTAATAAAAAAATGTCAGTTTATTTATGTTGTCATTATGGGCTATTGTGTGTAGAATCTTGAGGGAATAAATTAATTTAATCCACTATGGAATTAGGCTGTAACATAAAAAAATGTGAAAAAAGTGAAGAGCTATGAATACTTTCCGGCTGCACTGCAAGTATTTGGTAATCATTATTGATAACACGTTGAGGTTTGACCAAAATACAGAAACATTTATTAATAAAGCTTATCAACTTGTTGTTGTTGTGTAAAGTTATTGTTAATATGTGATAAAAAAAACATTATTGATGAAATCTCACTTTTTATTATGAAGTGCAAGTGTTGAGGCTAACTCATAAATATTAGGACAGTACACATCGCTTGAATTTTTGTTTTTAATGGATGCCAAATGGGCGATGTTTAAGGTAAATTTGATGTTCTACTTATTATAAATTTACTTTCATGCCTGAAGAAACAGTTATGTAATATATTTAATCAATTATTATTATGTTTCATTATGTACTTGTTTTAATTGTTCGTATCATAATGAAAGGTGTTGCTTATATATACAGTTGAAGTCAAAATTATTCACCCCCCTGTTTATTTTTTCTCCCCAATTTCTGTTTAACGGAGAGATTTTTTTCAGCACATTTCTAAACATAATCATTTTAATAACTCATTTCTAATAACTGATTTATTTTATCTTTGCCATGATGACAGTAAATATTATTTGACTATAATTTTTTCAGGACACTTCTATACAGCTTAATGTGACATTTAAAGGCTTAACTAGGTTATTTGGGTTAACTAGGCAGGTTAGGGTAATTAGGCAAGTTATTGTACATCGATGGTCAAAAATATAGCTTAAAGGGGCTAATAGTTTTGTCCTTAAAATGCTTTAAAAAATTTAAAACTGCTTTTATTTTAGCCGAAATAAAACAAGACTTTCTCCAGAGGAAAACATATTATCAGACATACTGTGAAAATGTCCTTACTCTGTTAAACAGCATTTGGGAAATTAAAAAAGGGGGGGATATATATATATATATATATATATATATATATATATATATATATATATATATATATATATACACACACATTTTGAAACACAGCCTATACAGTTTAGCAGGTTGTATTACTAATATATAGTCTTGCTTATTCTAGACTCTTATTTTGGTACTGGCCTATGACGTCATAATTCCGCGCCGCGCTCCCGTGTTTGAGGTAAACAAAAAGAAAGGTTTGTGTTTTGCAACGTTTTAATTCAATTTGTTCAAACTAAATTGTAGTTTATTTCATAAGCGATGCTAAGCGAACTGTCGTCAAATGTAACATTGCAGTGCTTTAATCTGAAAAACAACTTTTGCGAGTGTAATATGAAAGCGAGTAACGTTAGCAGAAAAGGCTCTGCATCATGACTCTGTTAGTAAACATGAATTCAGTCACTGGCGATTAGATGTGAGGAAAAACCTATTTCAAAACCCCGAGTCATATGAATCAACTACTAGAATAGAACCTGACATTTATCTGGGAAATATTGCATTTACAACAAGGCAAAAGAAACACATTTTCAAATGTTCGCATATTTACCCTGTCAATTCTAGTATTTCCTAATTTTTGGACATCTGCAAACAAGCAGAGGAGACACTAGTGCTTATGTTTTTGTGATTGTCCAATATCCAAGCAATTTTTCCCTACTGAAAATATTTTGCCCTACTGAATGACCAGCTTGACCAGCCTAGTCAGACTGGGAGCCCAACCAAAACCAGCTATGTCCAGCTTAAACCAGGCTGGTCAAGCTGGTTTTAGCTGGTCATTTTCCAGCCTGACCAGCTCAGACCAGGCTGGAAACCAGCCTGGAAGTGGCCAAAACCCATCTAAAACCAGTTTGGTTGTCCAGCTAAAACCAGCCAACCAGCCTAGGCTGGTTTAAGCTGTTTTTTTAAGCAGAGTAGTCACTCCTTGGTTCTCATATATATTATTCTGCCAGTGCTGTGAATTGCTTTAGTCTTAAAGACATTATTTTTTTATTATAATAACCCAAAATATAAACCCGCTGGAACATATTCTACATTTTTTTATCTTATATGGCAAGTTTTTCCATTCACAAACAGAAATTCGCAAATAATTACCCATCCTTTGCTCATTTTACAATAGAATTTAGCTATTTCCTAAAATCACTTCATTTTATTAAGCATAAAAAAAATCTGTAGGATTCCTGAAATATTATACAGATGTATTTAAAGAAGATCCTCGGTTTGAGCTGCTTTCCTTTTGATTCTTTGCTTAAGTGTCATTGTAATTTAATTAATTTGCTTAATTTAGTATTTTTAGTATTATTACTTCATTATTGATAATACTATAATTCTATTTTTTCTTCCTTTTTGTATAATGGTAATTGTGTTTGTATGTGATTTTTTTCTTATGGCTTTGTATATTATTGACCCTTTTTAAGTTCTGTCTGTGATCCCTTGGACTTTATGATGTTATTGTAAAAAAATAAAATAAAATCATTTGAATCAACAGTTTCTTAAATGATTCAACAAATTGATCGAATTACCCGCTAGTCAAAACAGTGTAAATACACACAAGCTAGTCATGAAAGTTCAATAGTAAATATAATGGTAAACCTTATATGTATAATTGCTTATTTCTGTTTTTTTTTCTCTCATCTTAAACAGGGTAAAGTGTCTAAACACGGGAGATCTGCTCTTTATTATCATCTACTATTATAAAGATGGCGTTTATTAAAGAGGAGAGTGACGATCTGAGGATTACAGAAGTGTTCACACTGAAGCGTGAAGATCGTGAGGAACAAACAGGTTCGTTTTTATACCTCAAAGTTCAACTCCCAGTCGTTTGATTCTCTAACGTGTGCTGCTCTAAATAAATTAAAAATATTTTTGGAGTAAGTCATGTGAGTGTCTTGGTACGGGGTTTAATTTGACAAAGTAACTCGCATGATCAGGCAAATGCTAACACTTCCTTCAGGCGAACTTGAGAAGATCCTGCTTGCGATTTGCACAGTGTCACATGTTACATTATTAATAATTGTATAAATCTCAATGTCAAGCCCGGAGTTATATATATTTATATATATATATATATATATATATATATATATATATAATCACGAGTAGCAGTGCAATATGGCTATATATCGGTACTGGTGGGAGGCGTGCGTTGGCTCGAGGCTGTAGACAAAGTGCCTTAGTGTCCCACCAGTGCTGATATACATCCACATCGCACCGCTACGAGTGTGATATTGCGTTAATGGAACAGTTCGACGGCACAATTGTGTATATAAACAGAAAATCAAACACTTGGATACACATCTGCAGCTGACGTCAGAACTGCAGAAGCTGTTACTAATTCCGCAACATCACTTTAGAGCTAGTGTTTGAATGACTCTCTGTTGCGTAATGTATAAAGTGATGATAAAACAGCTGATTTTGCTCACATTTTAAGATTATAAGGTTAAACATGACATGAAATGCCATCAGTCTACAGAGATATCTCCCTAGTCTATTTCGGTGTACTGTATTTCTCTGTTGCAATCGGGATATCACAATAATTACCCCGAAAAAAGCAACACAATCACTACCAGACTGCTGTTGTGTTTGCGATAAGGATGGGGTGTTCGGGGGTGAGGTCTCTGAATAACACTGTTGAGAACCGGGATAGGAAAGTAACTATTAAAATAGGCACTGTCCTTATAAATAAACTGCACAGTTGCAATCTATACAAAAGAGAGAGATCGACTTAGGATATCACTTACCAGTTTAATAATGATTTGATCAGCTGCAGTGAGAAAACACACAGTTTTAATCTTCTAAGCAAGGGCTTGTTATGCTGTCCTGGCGCCATCTTGTGGATAGACAACGTCAATCGTCAGGCTGATGGGCGCCGACTAGCTCTCTCAGAAATTATAAATATTTAAAAAATTATTAAAAATAAACTGCATAGTTACAATCTAAACGACTACATTCTCGACTAAAATAGCCCTAAAAGTGCATTATGTTGCCCAACGGCAGGACTATTTGTCAAACTGTTATAAATAAACTGCATAGTTACAATCTAAACGACTACATTCTCGACTAAAATAGCCCTAAAAGTACATTATGTTGCCCAACGGCAGGACTATTTGTCAAACTGTTATAAATAAACTGCATAGTTACAATCTAAACGACTACATTCTCGACTAAAATAGCCCTAAAAGTACATTATGTTGCCCAACGGCAGGACTATTTGTCAAACTGTTATAAATAAACTGCATAGTTACAATCTAAACAACTACATACTCGACTAAAATAACCCTAAAAGTACATTATGTTGCCCAACGGCAGCACTATTTGTCAAACTGTTATAAATAAACTGCATAGTTATGTTGGCTTGAGAAAGCCAACATACTGTAATGCTACTTAAACTTATTCTTATTATTATTATTATGTTGGCTTGAGAAAGCCAACATACTGTAATGCTACTTAAACTTATTCTTATTATTATTCTTATTATTATTATTATTCCGGCTTCTGACCAAAAAAAAGCAATCGCTTCTCCTCCCAGGGCTTAGATGCTACAAGCCCCAAATTTGGTCAAAAGCTGTCTATTGCCCATGAGATGGTTGCTGTATGTCCTCATGCCGATAAGATTTGTAGTTTTTGAATTAAAAATTTTTTGAATTAAAAAATTGTAAATATTACAATCGAGTATTTGGGGCATATAAAAAAGTATACAATCCTCAAATTTGGCCAAAAGATGTGCTTTAAATTGAAGATAATTATCATATTTATTTGGTGTAATTATAAATAACAGTTTTCCTATAAATATTTTTTTTTTATATTAAATTTGTTAATTTCAAACCTAAAGCTTGTCAGAGTGTCCACGAGATGGCGCCAGAGAACCATTTTTGAGCCCTTTGTAATTTAGTAATGGCCCTTTAAGAGGCGGAGATGTCCGGGCTGACTGTTTTTGCTCTACAGAAAGTTCGGCTCATTTCAGACGTGCTTGTTACAACATTTGAAGCTGTTTACATTAAAATTTCTCAGCGAAAATACACAAATACAAGTGATACAACTCTATTTAGTGTTCCTTTAAGAGGCAGAGAGATCGGTGATCAAAATCGAGGTAAGATTGAACTTAATTCTGGTCATCAGTCATTCTTATTATGCTTGCGGTGAACTCCATAAAGCGTAATAAAACTGATCTGGATGCAGAATCATCCGCGTCGGAATCGACCCGCATGCATTTCTGTCGGCTACCCTGTGAGTTTTAAAATGGATGCCTCTTATGTTGGCAGAAACATAACTTTACTTCGGATATTTCTTTCAAAACAGAATATTCTGTGCCGTGAAAAGCCTTCTCCTCTACTTGTGATAATGAAAATGAAAGCCATGCGAACATTCACGTATATTATACAATAAACATATTTAATATAAAATCATTCTAACTTTATTTTTAATCTGTATTTTAACCCTCTAAAAACAGCTATGTCCTTGCCACAAAACTAATAATCCATCTTCAAAACCTACAATTTCTTTCCATTCGGTCCGGTCGGACCTGAACGTCTTTATACCGTTGTAATCACGTGTAAATTCTAACAAAGACAATGTTTGCACTTTTTAAATCACATTTTATTTATTGTGCAAAAATAAATCCAAACAGCATCATAACCAATAAAAACACACAGCAAAGAAAATGTATTTTAAAATAGTGAATATATATATATATACATACAATGTATGAAGATTTTTTATATCCCCTTAATATGCTCTGCTGTTGCTGCATCAATTTCTCTCTGTAACATCTGGATTGCAATTTACACTGCAATGTTCACAATTTATTATTATGGGGGAAAAATCCAAACAGTATTATAATGTTTTAAAGCAAAAATGTTAAGAACAATTATTTAAAAACAGTGAAAATAAAGTGTGTGTATATACATATATATACATACAGTTGAAGTCAGAATTATTAGCTCCCCTGTTTATTTTTTCCCCAATTTCTGTTTAATGGAGGGAAGATTGTTTCAGCACATTTCTAAGCATAATAGTTTTAATAACTCATTTCTAATAACTTCTTTATTTTATCTTTGCCATGATGACAGTAAATAATATTTGACTTGATATTTTTCAAGACACTTCTATACAGCTTAAAGTGACATTTAAAGCCTTAACTAGGTTAATAAGGTGAAATAGGCAGGTTAGGGCAAGTTATTGTATAATGATGGTTTGTTCTGTAGACTATCAAAAAAAAAATAGCTTAAAGGGGATAATAATTGTGTCCCAAAAATAGTTTTTAAATAATTAATAACTGCTTTTATTCTAGCCGAAATAAAACAAATAAGACTTTCTCAAGAAGAAAAAAATATTATCAGACATACAGTGAAAATTTCCTTGCTCTGTTAAACATCATTTGGGAAATATTTAAAAAAGGGGGAAAAAAATCAAAAGGGGGTTAATAATTCTGACTTAAACTGTATATATGTATGTATATATATATACATACATATATACATATATAACACATACACACATTTATGGTTAGGGTTATAAGGATTATTTCTTAATCCCCCTTTTATGTTAGCAAAAACATAAGTTTACTTCAGATATTTCTTTCAAAACAATATTCTGTGCCGCAAAAGAGCCTTCTCCTCACTTGTGATAATGACAATAAAAGCCAAGCTTTTGGCCTATGCTGTACCAAAAAATAAAAATAAAATCACCCAGGTGATGACAACTAAATATTACGATTATAACATTGTGTTAGTGGCCAGTGGGGTGGAACAACGTCATTGGTCAGAATTAACCACGTGATGAAGACGGCCTATAATATTGTATTTAATGCGATTTTCTTCCTGTAAACTGTATATAACTATATAACTATAACTATATATATATAATGCTGCAAATTACTGTAAATTGACTGTACTCTATATTAACTGCAAAAATTATAAGACTGATTAAATAAAAAACAAATTAACTAAATGCATGTGCTATTGTTTCATTAGTATTTTAATTTAATATTTTTCTTCATATGATATTTATTATAATGTAATTTTGTTCAGATTATAATATATACTATAAATACTAACTATACTATAGTGATCTGCATTAAACAACCTGAACAAATCAGTCCTCTCTCTCTCTCTCTCTCTCTCTCTCTCTTTCTCTCTCTCTCTCTCTCTCTCTCTCTCTCTCTCGATTTGATCAAAAATGTAAATGAGGCCTTCCGATTAACAGTCCAGTGGACCCTAGCAACAGCCTAGAAACCACTCAGAACACCCTAGCAACTACCTAGGAATGCCTTAGCTACACCTTAGCAACCGCCTAGCAACCACTTCTCAACCGCTGTGCTTCCTGCCAACTGCCTTTGAGTCCCCGGCGCAGTCACGTTGGCTTTCTCAAGCCAACATCAAAGTTCGTCAACGAACTTTAGGTTCTAGTTCTTATTATTATTATTCCGGCTTCTGACTCAAAAAAAGCAATCGCTTCTCCTCCCAGGGCTTAGATGCTACAAGCCCCAAATTTGGTCAAAAGCTGCCTACTGCTCATGAGATGGTTGCTGTATGTCCTCATGCCGATAAGATTTGTAGTTTTTGAATTAAAAAATTTTTTAATTAAAAATTGTATCGAGTATTTGGGGCATATAAAAAAGTATACAATCCTCAAATTTGGCCAAAAGATGTGTTTGAAATTACTGATAATTATCATATTTATTTGGTGTAATTATAAATAACAGTTTTCCTATAAATATTTTTTTTTATATTAAATTTGTAAAATTCAGACTCAAAGCGTATCAGAGTGTCCACGAGATGGCGCCA